GGAGACATGATGACCAAAGCAGAGGTCAGAATGGAGCGATCGCAGGTCTCGAGGACGGCAGAGTTCGGGGGTCCCCTGGGCTCACAGGATGGAATCGGGGGCAGCAAGCCTGATGCAACAAAGGGTCTGAGTTGAATGGTGCAGGGAGGCAGATGAAGTGGGTATAAAAAGGTTGGACCCATTGGGTGACACCGTGCTTTTTTTATAGTATCTTAAGATCAAACGCCCAAGGCCATTTCGCAGCCTAATTAAGGCTGAGCTCACAATTGGATCAGCACATTGCCGAAGAGGACTTATTCAGCCCCTCCCAGACGTGCCGTGGCCCCAGCTCCCAATGAGGTCCACCTCTGGGAGATATTTTCCTTCTCTGGCCTTCTTGGGAAAAGAGCAGTCATTTGGGACAAATGAAAACTGGTTCATCTGGATGAGTAAAATAGAGACAAAACTCCCGATTAGCTGAGTGCGGCACATCCAAAGATTGTGGCAAATGTTGGCTGGCAGGATGCTGCTTCCTTTTGAACTTGGCCACAGAAACAATGATGATGCTCTCCTAGGGTGTCCCTCAGCGCCTTGAGGTAAATTAGCCATTGCTGTGAGCTGTCCTGGGTCTGTCCAGCTGCCATTTCTAATGTCCCTGTGGCCTCAAGCCACATAGAAAAGTCCTCTGGTCCTCTGGACCATCTGGTGGGGCAAATTATTTGAGCTTCTGTCGCTTTCTTCTTTCAGTCCATCTGTCCAGCCAGCCAGCCATCAGTCACTCAATAAACATCTGTGAGGATCCCACTCTGGGCTCAGATCTGGGGATGTCCTCTGAGGGCACCCAGAATGCGTCCATAATAGAGGGTCTCACTGTCCAGAAGCTTAGAGCCTATCAGAGAAAGCCGGCCCATCTGTGTTCTGTAAACAGTAATAATAATAGCACGAGCCACCCCAAATCAGCTGCCTACGTTAGCTCAGGCCACTGTAATGAAATACCATAGACTGACTTAAACAACAGAACTTTATTTTCTCAGGGCGCCTGGGCGGCGCAGTTAGCCCGACTTTGGCTCAGGTCACCATCTCACAGTTCGTGGGTTCGAGCCCCACATCCGGCTCTGTGCTGATGGCTTGGAGCCTGCTTGGGATCCTGCGTCTCCCTCTCTCTCTGCCCCTCCCCTGCTTGTGCATGCACTGTCTCTCTTTCTCTCTCAAAAATAAATAAACATTTAAAAAAACAAAAAAGAAATTTATTTTCGCATGGTTCTGGAGGCTAGAAGACTTAGAACAGGGTTCTAGGAACAGCCCTCTTCCTGGGTTTTACCTTCTCGCTGGGTCCTCATGTGGCAGAGAAAATGACAGAACAAGCCCTCTGGTCTCCCGTCTTTGAAGGACACTAATCCCATCACGGCGGCCCCATTCTCCTGACCTCATCGAAACTAATCACTGCCCGAAGGTCCCACCTCCAGATACCGTCACATTGGGGTTTGGATTTCAACATGAGAATTTAGCAGGGTACATAATTCTGTCCACAGCACCTAACACGGGCTAAGCCAGTAAAGAGCATTATCTGACGGCTGCCAGCTCCCCGGACAGCCGGCATTGCCCTCATTTATAGACATGGGAGGGCGGCTTAGAGAGGCTGATGAGTCCCGGGGAGCCCGGCTGGGTCGAGCAGGCTCTGGTCCCTGGCAGGCTGGGTCCCGCTGCCGGGAAGCCCTCCTTCCCACGCCCTGGAACGGAGAGGGTCCCCGCAGAGGGTGCCGGCGTCCCCCAGCCCGGGGTCCCCACCAAACATCGGCATCCATGGAGCCCCTTCCCTGGCCCGGCAAGGTTCCGGAGAGCCGCACAGGCAGCCTAGCAGTGGCCTTGAAGAGCAGAAAAGGTCTATGTGAAGGAGCTTTTAGGCACGGGGCGGGGGGGGGGAGAGACTCACTCACACACCCCTGCAGTCACCCACATCGTGGCAGATTCACACCAAGAGGACTTCAAAAGGAAGAGGCCGTCCATCTTTCATGCTCTGCCCCCCATGCTGCTCAGGCCTGCCCCCGCTCAACACCCCCACTGAGGGAAGGTGCAACCCGGCCCCGTGATGGGCCTGCAGTGCGGTCTGTTGTTGCTGGTGATGCTGAGTGGACCCCATGGGCCAGGCCCCACTCAGCGCCCTTCCCAAGGCCTTTGGCGGCTCCCGCACTGGAGAACTCAGGGTGCCCACCCCCACCGCACCAGGAAATTCGAAATACATCGCTGTTTCTTCAAACGACTTCCGATCTACCGGTAGTGCTGAAACTAAGTAGTAATACAGTGCTTCTTTCTAGATATTCTGTCTTAAACCACCGGAACCTTCTTCTTGCCCGCCGACTGCTGCTTCACTTGTGCACCTGGCACACAGTGGGTCTGCCTCAGGTTACCCCACCCCCCCAGGGGGGACCCCAGGTGCCTGGCGCTTGAAGTGGGGCCCACGGGTCGTGTGAGGGGCCGGGGTCCTGTGCCAGGCCTCTGCTTTAGGTGCTCTGGGTGCCCTGGAAAGGGCCCGCCTGCCTGGACACAGAAAGCTGGACACAGAAAGTCAGGGGGCCAGCCCCCACCGGGGGACACAGGCAGGGGGCAGGGAGGGAAGGGGAGCACAGAGGAGGGAGAAGCTCTCAGGAGGTTATAACCTGGATGGGAGGCTGGTCTGCAGCCTGGGAGGTGAGCTCTAACTGCTGCAGGCAGGAGCGAGGCCTCAGCTCTGGGCTTGTTCGCAGGGCAGTCCTGGCTCCGCGCACCCTCTTCCGAGGCTGCGGCTCCCTCCTCTCAGGACACATTACTCCAAATTACGGCTCCCCAGCCTACTGAATATTTTAGGTGGAAGGGATTTGAGGAACGGGCCAGGACCCACCGGTCTGCCCTGAAGCCACTCACAAGACCCTCATGTGGGAGATGCCCTTCATGAACCCAGGGGAAAGGAGTTCCCGTCTCCCCAAGACCCCAATAGAGATCTATCTAAATGAATAGACTTGGCTGCTTCCCTAGTTTACCACTCTTAGTTCCTAGCCTTCCATTTTCCTATGATAGTTTTCCACCGCTTTCTGCTCCTCTTCCCACCAGCATAAACACACTCAGATTTAACCATTTTGAGGGTCTTCGTTTCCCATGCCAAGGCTCACATGTCATGGAAAACTTCTAGGAAATAAGTTTGTGTGGTTTTTTTTTTTTTTTACATTTATTCATTTTTCAGAGAGAGAGAGAAAGAAAGAGCGTGAGCAGGGGAGGAGCAGAAAGAGAGGGAGACACAGAATCTGAAGCAGGCTCCAGGCTCTGAGCTGTCAGCACAGAGCCCAACGCGGGGCTCAAACTCGCATAATGCGAGATCATGACCCGAGCTGAAGACGGACGCTCAACAAACCGAGCCACCCAGGCACCCCTCTAGGTGTTTCTGTTGTTACGGGAGCCCGAGCCAAGAACTTGGAAGGGCAGAGGAAAAGGATGCTTTTGCTCCCCTGTAATTGCAATAGATTTTGACCATTCCTCCTGGCTCCAACCATTGCTTCTGAGTTTGGACTCTGGCTTCCCCGTTTACCAGCTGCGTGACCTTGGGCAAGTTGCTTCTGTATCCTTACCTGTAAAATGGATGTGATCCTTGCACTCACCTTATGGAGTGGTGTGAAGCTTAAATACAGTGTCATGGAAAGGCTCAGCCCAGCACATGATAGATAGAGGGCAAACACTCACAGAAGATGGGCTGTTCCCATGATGGGCATCACCGTTCACAGTCTGTGACTCCTAGGCTGGACGCCTCCGTGTTTCTCCACACACAGGCAGAGTACTTCCGTAAGCTACCTCAACCTGAGGCCGGGATTTTGAAGCTCCAAACCCTGCTCAGCTCAGGGGTCTATTTCTGGCCATACATCAGGCTCTTGGAGAGGCCCCAAAAGAGGCAACTGGTAAACCGAGAAAGAAGGGGTGCAGAACGCAGGACGGGGGAGGAGGCTCATGGGCCGGCCCAGCTTTCCTCTGCTGTATTCACACACCCATCAGCCTCTCAGTCTTCAGCTGTAGAACAATCTACTTCTGTCCTTTTGTACTGAAATACATTTACTTTGTCAATGAAATCTTTAATAGAAGTTCATTCGTCAATGAAATCTTTAATAGAAGTAAAACTAAGACGGTAAAAACAAAACTGCAGTCAGGTTCCGCCGGAATCTCTGTCCTCTCTGAGCCATTCTCTGGCTGGCGAGTATTGGAAAGGTGTTGAAGACTTGCCAACCCCAAACAGAGCTTTTCTTCTGGGCCCAGCAGGGGGGATGGGAGGAAAGCCGAAAAGGAATCACCGTTTTCATCCGGGCACAGCGCTGGGCAATGCCAGGCCCAGGAAACACCTGAAATCCTCCAGCAGGTTGGGGATGGGAGAGGGTTTGAGGCTAAAGCCTGGGAGGTGGGATCCCCAAGGTGTCCCTGGGCAGGGTCCGGGGTCCTCCAGACTCCCAGGACAAGGACCCACTCATCCCCCCTCCCCCACTGGTGACTGGTCTGCCCAGTATGAGAGCACAAGGCTGTGGCACCTGTGTCCCCAGGGTCCCCTGCCCTCACCCACAATGTCCCCTTATCCTGCAGCCCAGAGCAAGCAGGTTCCCACTGTGGCCTGCCCCTCGCTGCCTCTAGCTCAGGTATTCGGGGCTGCCAATCATGGAGGTCTTGAGTCAATATCTAGAGCCGTCTTTCCTTGCCTCTCCTGAAGGTATTTCTGGTCCCAGGGGGGAAAGAAAGTCCTGAAACCTGAGGAGAAGCTATCCTTGGTGACATGCCCGAGAAGTGCATTAATAGAAGCCTCCCTCAGGCCCCTGACACGTCTGGACAGCTGCTCAGTCCCGTCTGGTGTCCCTCAGCCCCAAGGCCAGCCCCCTCTGGCTCAGCCGGACACACTAAACTTAGCGTCCAGCCCCAGCTCGATAATCGCCGCCACCTCCCCGGCCTGGCTGCCACCTGCCCAGGAGACACCGCCACCGGACCGTGCCGAGGGTGCCCGCTCCCCCGCCACCGCCATGTCCCAGACCAAAGCACCGAAGGTCCGCGCGACCCTCTTCTGCATCCTGGTGGGCGTCGTGCTGGCCATGGTGGCCGTGGTGACTGACCACTGGGCGGTGCTGAGCCCCGAGGTGGAGCACCACAACGCCACCTGCGAGGCGGCCCACTTCGGCCTCTGGCGGATCTGCATCAAGCGTATTGTCATGACGGACAGCAAGGACAAGACCTGCGGACCCATCTCCCTGCCTGGGGGTAACGTATCCACTCTCTGACCCCGCGCCCGCCTCCTGCCCTCCCTCATCCCCCTGGAAAGGGTGTCCGTGGGAAAGCCCAGGAAGAGCGGCCCCCCCCCCCCCCGTGCCCAGGGAAGAGATCCGAATCACATGTGTCCCACTGGAGGCCAGAGACGACTTATAAAATGAGGGCGTTTGTCTTTAGCTACTTCCGTCTTGCTGAGGCCTCGGACTTTTCACCCAGAGCAAAGGGCTGCACAGGTGGGACCCGAGGCTCATGAAGGAATCCGTGGATCTACCAGACCAGAGGCTCCCGGCCCCCGAGGCGGCCCCTCTTCTGGGTGTGCGTGGCCCTGCTGTCCCCCTGCACAGACGGGCTCAGTGGCCCTACAGCCTCGTGCTGAAGGGACACGTGCGGTTGGCACGTCACTCCCCAGCCTCCAGGCTGGGTGTGAGGCAGGATCGGCCACAGCATGTACAGGGCGTAGTGCAAAATGAAAACGTGGGGCTCCTTGTAATGGTTTTTAAGAATTTCAAGATGGCGGCAGTGAGGCATGGAGTCCCTTCTGTGTGCGGGGCCTTGGCTGGCTGCACTGGTCACGCACCTGTAAGGCGGTACCTGGTTGTAGATGAGCCACCCGCTTCTTGTCGGCACCATCGCTCTTGCACATCCCCTCTTAGCTCAGACCCCTTCAGGGCTGGGAAACCTTTCCTCCCGCTGTGGCTTAGGCGCACTCCTCAAGTTCTCATCAAAGGGCAGCTCCTTGTGAAGAATACCTGGTATTAGGGGGACCAGTCTGCTCCGCAAATGTGGGGCCTCCTGCATTCATGGCGAACAGCACATGCTGAGCAAAGTGCCTTGTGCGGAGAATCGAAGGTCTGGGCTCCAGTCACACACTGCCCACGACGCCCCAGTGGCCACGGGGGCAACAAAGGATATTGTAACTTGTGCTTGGTGCTTGGGCTCAGCAGCATCAGTCCCTTCCAGGGCTTCCAAATATCACTCTAAGGGGGCAATGGGCCAGGCTGAATGCGGTGTCCCACCTGGTTTTCAGAAGTCTTCCGTCTGCCATCAGACTGGGTGTTCGCCGAACCCTGCTTTTCAAGGAAGTCACGGCTAAGTCCCCGGAAGCCTTGCAAGCTGTGTGTGGGACAGAGGAGCCCAAACCCCATTCCCCCACTTCTCCTTTGCCTCCTCCTTCCCCTCCTGCTGGCTCTGGGAAACCTCTGCCTTGTTCACACCCCCTAGATACTCAGAAGACTTGTAAATACCCAGCTGTCTTAGAAACACTGAGCCCCGGGGCTGACTTCTTTAACAGACGTGGACATGTGCTTGATGGGTATTGCAAGGCCCGCATGCCCACGTTCCTCAGCCACGGCCGAGCACACCCGTAAACAGATGCATCATCCAGCCAATTCTCCAGGCAGCGCAGGGCAGCGCAGGGCAGCGCAGGGCAGGGCAGGGCGAGGCCGATTCTCTACGGGCCATGCATGGGAATGCATGTTATGGTCCTGTCCATCTGTCCTCAGAGGCCCTACCTCTTAAAGTCTGGTTAATTTACAGAGCAGATGAGCAGGGAGGCGAGGCAAGTCCATACAAGGAAGAGACAAACTAGTAGAGGACCAGCAGGCATGGTTTGGCCTTGAGCCTGACAAGGCAGGGTCTATCTCTATGCCTCCTTGCTCTGGCCCGAGGGAACCCTACCTCCCACACTTGTGAGCCAGGCCCTTCCCCAACAAGCTTCTGAAGTATGTTCCTGCTTTCTCCCTTCTCCTTTCTCTGCAGATGGACATCTTTTTCTTTCCCCACCCACCTTTTCTGTGGGATTGCTCTTTTCTAGAAAGAGGACTAGAGCTCATATATGTTCTCTCAATTATTATTAATAGCAATAATAATAACCACAAACACGAATATCACACCATCTGCCAAGTATTGTTTTAAGTGCCTTCCATATTTTAACTTTGTAAAAAAAAATTTTATGTTTATTTATTTGAGAGAGAGAGAGAGAGAGAGAAAGAGAACATGAGTGGGGGAAGGGCAGAGAGAGAGGGGGGCCTGAGGATCCGATGCAGGCTCTGAGCTAAGAGCAGAGAGCCCAATGCAGGGCTCGAACTCATGAACTGTGAGATCATGACCTAAGTTGAAGTCAGACGCTCAACCGATTGAGCCACCCAGGTGCCCTCATAGTTTAATTTTGAATGACATCAGAAGAAATGACAGACTAAGAATCTCCAAAAATCCTCTTCTCCATAAATACAAGGAGAACTTTGGCCCAAATGGTCAGAATAAACTTTCTCAGAATGCTGGAAATGAACCAATCTCGTAGCAATCCAGCAAGTGCTCGTTCAAGAAAAATAGGTGAATCTCAGTTAGAGTGGTGAGTTTTGTGGCACTTTAACCTGCTCTATTACTGTCCCCCGACTCCCCAACCCTGTCATAGCCTTGAAAACCAACAGCTCACAAACTGAAAATTGGGCAGCCTGGAAACCCCCAGAGGGGACAGACAGGATGGATCTCATTCCTAGAGAACTGTCGCTATTGGATCTGTCTGCTGGTTCCCTGGAAGACCCCCTTGCAAGGCTGTCTTTACTTGACCTGATGCTGAGCTCATCAGGTGCAAACAGTCTTTTTCCAAGGGGACATTTGTCAAAAACAACTAGAAAACAATTGTTTAATAGCATAACTTCCTAGGACAGTAGACCCCAGTTAGGGCAAACAATCGGCTAAGCAAAAAACTGGAGAATGAGATATCCAGAGGTGGTTTGGAAAGCTCCATCCTATTCCTGAGAATTTAGAAGGCCACGTGCATGCACAGCACTGTATGGTGCACAGGAAAGCCCTGAAAGGGTCCTCGGCGCTCACCTCGGGCTGATCGTGAGGCTGTGGGTAAGCAGGAAGGGAAGGCTAAGGCAGAGATGGAGGCTGCTTGGTGGAATGCTTAGCTCTCTGCTTAGCCCCTCAGTGAAGACTGGGAGATGTACCAGTTCCAGGCATTTTACCCAACGTGAGTTGACTGCCAAGCTAACTGAGCAGAGATTTCGGTGTTCACACGTGACAAAGAATGCAGACTTTACAAAGTTAATTAAGAGAATTCACTAAACAAACAGTAACAAAGAGCAAACGAGAGCAAACCCTGCGGAAGCAGGCATGGGGTGGGGGGACTCTGATTTCCAGAGTTGCTCATTATATTATTCACATTTTCCAGCTTTAAATTTAAATTTTATTTTATTTTTTTGATGTTTATTTATTTATTTTGAGAGAGAGGGAGAGCACAAGCAGGAGCAGGGGAGGGACAGAGAGAGAGAGGGAGAGAGAGAGAATACCAAGCAGGCTCTGCACTGTCATTGCAGAGCCTGATGTGGGGCTGGAACTCACAGATCAAAGAGAGGTTGAGCCAGAATCAAGATTCAGTCGCTTAACTGACTGAGCCATTCAGGTGCTCCTAAATTTAAATTTTAAATTAAAAAAAATTCACAAGACATGCAAAGAAATAAAAAAGTATGGTCCATATACAGGGGGGATAAAACCAGTCAACAGATCCTTAAGAAAGCCAGATACTGCACTTAAAGACTTTAAATCAGCTATTTTAGATACACTCAAAGAACAACAACAAAACAAAGCCTGAAGAACTAAAGATGAGAATGATGTCTCATGAAACAAAGAATATCAATAACGAGATAGAAATCGTTTTAAAAGGACCCAACAGAAATTCTAAAGTTGAAAACTACAATAATTGAAATGGAAAACTCAATAGCAGGTTCAATAGCTGATCTGAGCAGGCACAAAAAGGAATAAGTGAACTTGAAGACAGATCAGTTGAGATTAGCTGGTGTGAAGAACAGACAAGAAAAGAAAAAGAATGAAGAAAAATGAACAGAGCCTCAGAGATACGTGGAATAGTATCAGATGAACCAATATACACAGAATGGTGGTCCTAGAAGGAGAGGAGACAGAGAGAGAGAGAGAGAGAGAGAGAGAGAGAAAGGAGCAGGAAGGATGTATGAAAAATAATGGCTGAAAAGTTTCCAAATTTGACGAAAAACATTAATCTACAAACCCACAAAGCTTAATCAGTTCCTGTAGGATAAATCCACACCTAGACACATCATAATCAGAACTGCTAAAAGATAAAGACACAGAATCCTGGAAGGAGAAAGAAATGACTTTTCGCATACAAGAGATCCTTAGTAAGACTTACAGCTGATATTTTCCCAGAAATCATGGAGGCCATAAGGCAGTGGGACAACAAATATAAATATATATACAGTCATCTAACCCTCACAAAATCCTCTATAAGGTCTACACTATTATCATCTCATCTAACAGTAAAGAAAATGAGGCACAGGCAGGTTGAGTAACTTGACCAAGGTCACACAATTACCATGGCAGAGTAGCCAGAGATCACAGCCCTAGAATTCACCTTCTTGGTCACTACATTATACTACTTTACAACAACCCAGTAAGGACGCTGTCATTCTACAGGTGATTATCATTCTACAGGTGGGAAAACCGAGGCTCAGAGTGGCCTTCCCAAAGCTAACCATCTCACAAGTAGAGGTTCAACACTCAAGCCTCTCCAGTCCACTCCCATACAATACTGCCCACTGTACATACAAACACAGCTCCTCAAAGCTGCTGATTCAGACAAACACAGAAGAGGCCAACCTTTGACATGGCATGGTTTAGAAGAAGCTGGACCAGGAGCTGGTTCAAGAGAGGACACTTTTCAAGGTCCCATTCGGCCATTGATTGCTGGCGGCTCTAAGGATCATAAATTGTCTAATTTGGTTTTTCTGCTGACCCAAAGAGTTTTAGAAAGACTGTCATGTACACGATTGATATCTGAGGTCAATTCCAATGCCTTTAGAATGACAATAAGGTCTCCCCCCATGTCAGGAGAGGCTGACTGCCTGAAAGCCCAAGTGAATCATCCCAGAGGGGTCATCCCCTGACCTTGGACTAGGTAGAATGTTATTTCTCTCGGGCCCTGTCTCTTTAGGCTAAGATAACAGACTGCCACAGGACCCCTCTGCCTTATGGCCCATCTTCTCTTCCAGCACTTGGTGCAGGGACTGGAGCCACATGAAAACATGATGGTACAGACCCCAAGGATTTCAGGCGCCTTCTTTCCCATCCACATGAGCCCATGCTGGAGACCCAGGCTACAACTAGACTTCCCCCCATCCCATAGAAAAGCAATGCTCTGACACTCTAGGGTTGGGTCTTGGGGATTTGTCCAACCCATTTGATAAAAGTCTTCCATCAGAGGGGCAGGGAGAGACAGAGCACAGAGAAACCACTGCCAGGAGCATCCAGAACTTCTCTTACAAAAAGGGTCAAGACAGCCCTGGCATTGATGCAAGTAACAAGTGAAATATTTTTCCAACCCCGAAATCACTAGTTCTCTTGGTTTTGTATCAATTAACAAGATATTTTTTAATATATTAACGTGTACATCAGCCAGCCATGGGTACACTGATACATTCTCAGTGATAACCCAGAAGCATCCCATAACCGTGTAAGTTAGCCCAACAATCAGGGAAATATCTGCATTAACTCAAGTTCAGGTTGGAGTTGAATGTGCCTTCTGTTCCGGTTCTTTGAAATTGGCACAGTTAGATATAGTTCTGTGTAGTCACTCCTTTACCCAGAGTGTTTGGTTAGCCAGAATAGTCCAACCCCAGTCAAGCTCAATAGCTGAATTCACCACATTTTTAAAGGAATAACTCATTTAACTTTCTTTTTTAATGTTTTATTTATCCTTGAGAGAGAGAAAAACAGAGAGCACGAGCAAGGGCGGGGCAGAGTGAGAAAGGGACACAGAATCTGAAGCAGGCTCCAGGCTCTGAACTGTCAGCACAGAGCCCAATGTGGGGCTCGAACTCACAAGCCGTGAGATCATGACCTGAACTGAAGTCAGATGCTCAACTGACTGAGACACCCAGGAGCCACCTCCCCCATTTAACTTTTTAGACCACTGAGTTTTATGACTTTTCATGACAGACATTTCTGAAATACAGAGAAACAGAAATACAGTTTAAGTTTATTTTTTCAGGGGGAAGGAAGAGAGAGAAAGACTGCGAGCGGGGAAGGGTAGAGAGAGGGGTAAGAGAGAGAGAATCCCAAGCAGGCTCTGCACTATCAGCGCAGAGCCTGATGTGGGACTTGAACTCACGAACCAAGAGATCATGACCTGGCCAAAATCAAGAGTCACTCACTTAACTGACTGAGTCCCCCAGGCGCCCCCAGAAAGACAAATATTAAAATCACCATAAGCCATTTGCAGAGACAAAAGAGGTTGGAGGAACCCAGAGTTCCTAATTATTGGCCCCAGATCGTCACCCTGACATTGCCATCTCCCCTGGCTGGACCCAGAGCACTTGCTTCTAGAGCTGTAAGCCCTGAGCACTGCATTGTTGGGATGGGAGCCGGGGGAAAGGCAGGGAGGGGTACCAGAAAGGCAGGTCAGAACCTGCACAGTTGTCACAGAGCTGCCACTGCCCCTCTCCTCCAAGCCCCTCACCCGTGACTATGTGGCCCACCCAGAGCCCCTCTCTGATGTCTTTCCTTTCCAAGTTGCTCTCAATGCTCTGTTTACCCAAAGCACCCAGACAAAGGGGCAGGCGCAGAATCTGCCCCCTCAACAGGGCCCTGGGCATTTCCCGAGTGACACAGGCAGATGCCCCGCTTGGTCTTTCCTGGACAAGTGTCTTGTTGGTGCCGGACGTGTCCCAGAGTGACTCTTGGGTCTCGCGTCCCCCCACCCCTGCTGCAGTCATCAGGGACCACAAAGGGGCTTGCTGACTCCCGTGGACAGCCATGGGGTCCTGGAGCAGACATGACCCCTGGATTCAGGGTAGAAGGCACTGGCCTTCCTCGTGTGCTAAGTTCAAGGGAGGGGACAGGGCTGGCCCACCCATTCTCAAGCCCTGGGCTCCGCTATATCAGAGAGAAGCTGAGACTTCCAGATGCCCCGAGCGGGAACCCCACTCCCTGGGGACCCTCCGTCCCTGCACACGACATCATTTAATGAGGGAGGCGTGCACTTGGGCCACTGAAGGAGGAAATCTCCCCTAGAAAATGCACAGGCTGGTCTCCCCAGCCAGCGCCCCACTCTGGGGCTGAGCTAAGAGGGTTTCTGCAGGCAGTGGTCTGTCTGTCAAGAGCGGAGCCTGGCGGTGACCCGGTGGAGGCTGATACGCAAACAGGACCTATGAAAGAGTTGCCTCAGTGGCCCAGAACCGCCAGAGAACTACACTCCAGCCAGGCTCCGACAGGCCTTTATCTCACAGCCCTCTGCTCCCAAGGCTTTTAACTCAGATTGCGAGTGGTCAGGGAAGCAGCTGACCGTGAAACACACTTGAATTCAGTCAATTCTTTTCAGAGGGTTTTCAATGACAACCGAAACTGCCCCCTTAAAGAACGAAACAGAAATGTTCCTTTGTCCAGAGGGAGACACATGGAGACTTACGACATAGCACGAGCCATTCTGAAGCAGTGATTCAAGAGCATCTATAGCTAATAATCTAACAAATAGAAGAGGGTTGCATTGTGTTTTAAAATAGCACCGGAAGCTGTGAGAGAGAAAAACGCAGCATTAATTCTGACATCACCGCCGGCAGTTAGACACCCCAGGTAACTCCGCTCTCACTCGAAAGGAAAGTGATTTAAATATAGAAGCTCAAAGAGAAGGCTGTTTACCTCTCAGAACATTTACTGCTGCTAAAACAGGCTCATCTCCAGGGGTCATTTCCTTTCTCCGCCAGGGAGTAGCAATAACCCTGATGTTGGGGGTTGGGGGAAAGAGTGGGAGGCCATAGGCTTAAGTGGCAATAAGATGATTTAGGTCAGACAGAAGAAAGCCTGCATCCCAATGAAAGCTAGGACTTTGGAAACACCTCAAGTTCACTTCCACAAGGAACAGACATCAATAATCGTATTCTCGTAATTTACATGTAGCCCAAAAGGGAAGAAATGAATGCACATACTAGACACCATCTAAACTAGGAGTGAAGGGGCCACGGACCCACAGGAAAAAGAAAGCAATGAAGGACATCCCACAAATAAAAAGCAACCCAATTTGATTTTTTTTAAGAAACTATTTTTTTAAAAAAACCATTCACCTACTTCCTAAAGAAGGAGTAAAGAACATTGAACTGTTTTCAACAAGCGAGAAGAACTCATTTGGTTTTAAAGTATGTCAAGTTACAAGAGAAATTAAAGGAGAAAAATGGAAGAGAAATTATGCCTGAAATTGTATTTAAAACCAGCATGAATTTCTTTGTTCTGGGTCCTTCCCCTGGCCCCCCACCATCAAATCCAGATTTTCGGTCCCACTGTTCACAAATCTTCTGTGGCTTTTCTGACATTATGATGTAGAACAAACAGCTCGCCAGGAAGTGTTGTCTGGGCCATGGTGTCAAGGGCCCGATGAAAAGACATATGGTCACATTTGGCCCTTGAATGGAGGTCTCTATGCTGCACCCAAGTCCATCCAGATGACCTACTCAGAAAGGCTCTTTGTGGGGCATTTTAAGGGAACAGGGCTTCCCAAAGTGGCGGAGCATCAGAATCTTCTGGAAAGCTTTTGAAAAACATCCTTCCCCATCAGTCCCAGTGTGTCAGAATGGACCTGGATAGTGACAGAAAACACAGCCCTAGATTTTGGTGTGACCAGGCTTTCTCCGCCTCACCCTATTGATATACTGGGGCGGGTCAATTCTATGTTGTGCAAGGCTGTCCAAAGCTGTAGGCCGTTGAGCAGTATTCCTGGCTTCTCTCTACCTACTAGCACGCCTGCCAGTTGTAACACCAAAAATGTCTCCAGACTTTGCCCCATGTCTCCTGGGGGGCAGAATGAGCCCCAGGTGAGAACCACCATTTGGCCCTTTGTTGATGGTCTTCCCTGTACCCCCTGACAAACCGAGCGCTGAACCTCAGTTATCCCATCTGTCTAATGGGCTGAGTACCCACAGTACTATATGCCCAATTGTCAGGGTCAGCCTTTGCTTCCTGAAGATCTCTTGGCTTCTTTAAAAAAAAAAAAATAAGTTTAAATTAAGTTTATTTATTCTGAGAGAGAGAGAGCACACAAGCAGGGAAGGGGCAGAGAGAGAATCCCAAGCAGGCTCTGCACTGTCAGCGGGGCTCAAACTCACCAACCCGAGATCATGACCCGAGGAGGGAGAGTTGGACACTTAACCGACTGCGCCACCCAGACGCCCCAAGACGGCTTCTTAACCCCCTTCCCCTACTGAAATTTTGGTCTAAGGGTCCGAGAAACAGCCCCGATTCAAGTGTTTCAGCCCCGATTCAAGGTGAAATCGACCTTGACCGCCCTCTTTTCCTGGAGCCTCTGGCCGGGCTGCAGGCCCCATCTCTCAACTCACAGGCCGCCTCCCTCCTTTGCAGAGAAAAACTGTTCCTACTTCAGGCATTTTAACCCAGGCGAGACCTCGGAGATCTTCGAAGTCACTACTCAGAAAGGTGAGCCTCTGGGGGAAATCAGGGAGGGGAGGGGAGGGGAGGGCGATCTCTGTCACAGGCTGCGGAGCCAGAAAATCATTGGGCACAAAGGATTCCCTTATCTGGTACCTGGATGGCAAGGAGTTCATCCTGACGCGTCAGGATCGAGCTCCCCTTGTCCCCCGCCCCCTCTCCCCCCACCCCCGGGAGCGCAGCGCCAGGGGCCTCGGTCCTGAGCTTCCATCCATCCGGGCTTGGGAGCGGCGGCGCAGAGGCGGTTCCCGGTGCCCCACACCCGCCCGCAGAAGGAGTACATCTTCCCACCAGGCCGAGGGAGGCGGGAGCGACGGGGAACTGGAACGAGTCCTCAGAGCCCCTGCACGGGTTTTCAGGGCTGGTGGCGCAGCTGATTCCCGCCCTGGCCCCCCTGTCACCCCCGGGGCATCAGGACAGCAGGGACGCGGGGGGTGGGGGGGGACGCCTGGGGGTCCGGGAGCATGTGCGCCCCGGGGGCCTTCCCGGAAGCACCTCGGCACGTGCGCGAAGACCCCTTGCACGGCGTGTGAGCTCGCACACAAGATCCCCACGTGCCACACACTGCGCGCACGCACACACGCACACGATCACGCGCGCGGCCCTGAGACAAGCCACGCTTCCCGCGGCCGCTTGGTGTCCCAGGCCAGACCACCCAAAGCCCTCTGCCCCATGGCTCGCAGGAAGCTTTCCGTTCCAGAAAGGTCTCCGGCCACATGGCTCCCGCCGGCTTCGCAGGCCTCTGTTCCCCTCCCTCCCCCGGGGGTTGGGACCCGCAGCGCAGGGCCCCACACAGGGCGTGGGAAGGGAAGGTTTGTTGCCATCCCGGCCCAGCCCCTGACCCTCCGCGTGACTCTGGGAGAAGGGTTTCGCCTGGGAACCTCAGTGTGCTCTCCAGTGAAATGGGCGCAAGGGCGCGCGGCACTGCGCCCTCCACCCCCACCCCTCCAGCCGCCGCTGAGCCGCCGCGCCGCACCTGCCCTCCTGTCCCGCAGAGTACAGCATCTCGGCTGCCGCCATCGCCGTCTTCAGCCTCGGCTTCATCATCATGGGGACCAGCTGCGCGCTTCTGTCCTTCAGGAAGAAGCGGGATTACCTGCTGAGGCCGGCGTCCATGTTCTACGCGTTCGCAGGTAGCGCGGGAGGGGGGGGGGGTGCGGCTGGGGCTGGGGGGCGGCACCCTGCTTTCCGCGACCCTGGGCAGCGCTCAGCCTCCGTGCGTCTGGCACAGTGTGGGGGGAGGGGGGGTAGTGACTGCCCCGCGCTTTGCTAGCGCAGCGAGCGAGGGAAGAGGCGCGGCCGCTGGGCCCGGGGAGGGGGCGGTCTGGGCAGGGGGCCCTGAAGGCCAGCCTCGGCCCGCAGGTCTGTGCATCTTCGTGTCGGTGGAGGTCACGCGGCAGTCGGTGAAGCGCATGATCGACAGCGAGCACACCGTCTGGATCGAGTACTACTACTCCTGGTCCTTCGCCTGCGCCTGCTCTGCCTTCATCCTCCTCTTCCTCGGCGGCCTGGCCCTGCTGCTCTTCTCCCTGCCTCGAATGCCCCAGAACCCCTGGGAGTCCTGCATGGACGCCGAGCCCGAGCACTAGCCCTCCAGGACCCCCCCCCCCCAATCGGGGCTTTCCCCTCGGGAAGCCGAGCCTGGCCCAGAACGTTCTAGACAGGAGGCGGGAGCTTCCCCTCTCCCCGGTCCCACCTACCCCACGACAGCCGCCGCCGCTGCTGCTCTCTCTGAGCCCTTCTCTGGGCTGTGACAGGCTCCCCCCGGGAATCCAGCGAGTGGACCTGACCCTGACTTGCCCACGTGGGAGGGAGGCAGGCAGGCAAGGCTCGCAGGTGCACAGGTGAGGGAGACCTTCCCCTGGAGGTCACAGTTGTCCCCACTGAGCCAGGTGTCTTTGATAAGCTGGGCCCAGTTGCCCTCTGTTAGCCCCGTAGGGACGCCCTGTGCTCATTTACCAATTCTGGGCTTTGGCCCCAGGGCCAACCACCCCCTCCTTCTCTGGGACAAGATACACCCTTTCCAGTGAACTGAACGTCCCCTCCTGGGTTTCCAAGATGCCCGAGGAGCACTTTTTTTTTTAACTGCGTGGAACCTGACTGTGGTTTGAAATAAAAGCTCTTTGAACACGTATTTTTTTCCTTGCACCTTGCACAGAAATTGCTTGGATTCCTGACCACGCCCCAGGGGCCCCATGACCCTGAAGGAGAAAGGAAAGCAAGTCCCCACCATTCCCCACCCCCCGGGGGCATGTCAGGGACTTTTGCAGAGAGCTGGAGAGGGCGATGAGGTCCTGTTTACCAATAAAACTTAGAGGTTCTGAATTCCAGCTTGGATCTCTGGACCCTGAGATCTTCTTTGGGAGAAACCAGAGACCATCTGACTAGGCGAGGGTGTTCAAAATAAGGAGGGGTTATTTCCAGAGCCCGGGCACGCTGGCATCCAAGTGCTAACACAGCAGCCGAACTCCACAACCACACGTGTCTGATTTCAGACCCTGGATTTTTGTTACAAGGAACGTCAGGAAGCCGGGCTTAGCAGTTAGACACTTAGGATTACGCGGAATGTCATTAAATGGCGCTCTTCAACCTTCCAGAATCCCACCATATTTACCCAGCACTCAGAAACGTTAAGTCAGACACAGTTGGCAAAGAGGATCCACGTGCTCCGTGCCCCAAACTGGCACCGGAAGTCTGTTGCGCTAATTCTTCTGTAGCAGGGCTTGCAAACTACAGCCTGTGGGCCTGACCTCGCCCACCACCTGTTGTCAGCCGGGCCACAAGCTAAGAACAGTGGTGTTTTTGGTTTTGGGGTTTTTTTTTTTTTACAATTTTAAATGGCTTTTAAAAATCAAAAGAAGAATATTTTACATTTGGAAAGTATTTCAATTTCAGTGTCTGAAAATAAAGTTTTATTGAAACTGTCAAAGAAAAATAAAGTCACTCAGGTGGCAGGGGCAGATTGTAATCAGTCATCGACTTTAACAATAGGGAAGGGTCCAGGATGAACTGTGGCAGACTGGCTCGCACCCCCCGGGCCTTGATGAGAAAAGTTTGTGGAGCCCTGTTCTGGAGTAACTACGCTCGTCAGTGAGTCCGTTAACCCCAATCTGTTCCCGTCTGTCGCGTGAGAGGAAAGAGACTCGTTCGTTGTTTAGAACAATTTAAAAGCAAGAAGTGTGAGTCTGGGGGCATCTGGGTGGTGGCCGTGGTGGGCTTGTCAAAATTCTTCTCAGGGGCACTTGGGAGGCTCCGTCAGTTGACTTCGTCTCAGGTCACGATCTCACGGTTTGTGGGTTCAAGCCCCGCATCGGACTCTGTGCTGACAGCTCAGAGCCTGGAGCCTGCTCCGGATTCTGTGTCTCCCTCTCTCTCTCTGACCCTCCCCCGCTCACACTCTGTGTGTGTGTGTGTGTGTGTGTGTGTGTGTGTGTCAAAAAGAAATAAAACCTTTTTAAAAATTAAAACAAAAAAAGATTCTTCTCTATCATCTCGGGGGTTTGGGCTGGACTTGCAGGCGTGGCTGAGGAGCCCTGGGGACAGAGGGCACAGCCCAGCCTCCTTTCCAGCCAGGGACAATGCAAATGTCTGGTACATGGTTGTGAAAGCAGAAGGGTCAAAGTGAGCAGGGTGACATAAATGTCACAGAGCAAAAGCCTGGGAGCCGCAGAGAAGGGAGGCTGGCAGGTGAGCTGTCAAAGAGTCCACACAGCTGACGTCCTACAGCCACCAGCAGGACACTGTCCCAAAGAGACAAAAGCCAGAACCCGGGATAAGTGTGCTCCAGGTAGGAGAATAGGAAAATGAAAGTCTGGGCCAGCCAGCGGCCACGGTTTACGAGTAGGAAGGAAGACAGATAGATGACCCCATCCTGCAAACTCCCATGTTGGAAGTCAGTGCTGTTGTCTTATCATCATCATCATTATTATTCCTTTTACCAGAGTTAGACTGCCGGGCATTTTATATTCCCACGTGGGTGCCTGTGTTTTCTGCACCAGGGACCACGTCTGAGTGCAATCGCAACTGCACAGAATCCTATGTCTTCGCAGAATTTGAACTCTTTTGAGAGAGACAGGTGTGGCCAAAACTACTTTGCAGACAAAAGGGTCAGAGGGTAGCTGCCAGAGAGCCTGTCATTACCGCATCTGCTCCCGCTGCTGCTGTGGAGAAAAACATACCGCCATCAAGCAAAACAGAGCCTCATGCCAAGAGAAACAGATCAACCAAGCCAATGAAAGACACCAACTTTTTCTCCACGGACCTACGCTTGCCCGGAACGCGGTCCGGAATGGGCACTTGGTCAGTCTTGCTCTGCTTAGGTCTGGTGGCGATTCAGGGCATCCCCTGGACCTGGGAGCCAGGGCGCAGCCAGGCCACGCCCCCAGGGCCTGAAAATGAAGCAGCCACACGGGGCGGGGGGTCCTGAGTCCTTGCCTGGGTGGGTGTGAATTTAACGGCTGCCGGGCCAAGATTTCCTAACACCTTCACTCTCTCAGCTTTTTAGAATTCACTGGATTCCACGAGGAGCCAGGACTAGCAATTCCGTCATCGAGATACATATTTGAAAGTGAGATGTTTTTCCTTAATTGTGGTAAAATACACACAGCATGAAATGTACCATCTTAACCCTTTTTAAGGTCGATAATGTTGAATCCATTCACAGCGTTAGGCAACCCATCTCCGAACTCTTTTCATTGTCCCAAAATGAAACTCTGTCCCCGCCAAGCAACTCTGCATCGCCCCTCCCCCGAGCCACTGGCAACCGCCAACCACCACTCTCCTGTCTCTATGAATTTGGCTACTCTAGGGACCTCGTGTAAGCGGGACCCTACAGTATCTGTCCTTTTCTGTCTGGTTTATCTCACTTAGCATAATGTCCTCAAGGTTCTCGATGTTGTAGCCTGTGTCAGATCCTCCTCCCTCTTTAAGGCTAAGTAATACTCCACTGTAGGACCGTATCATGGTTTGCTTATCCATTCATCCGTTAATGGATGCTTGGGTGTTTCCACCTTTTGGCTACTGTGGAATGCTGCTGGGAACATGGACGTTCAAGTATGTCTTTGGGGCTCTGGGGACTCTGTTTGCAATTCTTCTGGACGTATACTAAGTGTGACATTTACAAAAACTCTTTAATGTTTACTTATTGATTTTGAGAGAGAGGGTGGAGGGAGGGGCTGAGAGAGAGGGAGACAGAGAATCCCAAGCAGGCTCCGCACTGTCAGGGCAGAGCCCGACGTGGGGCTCGAATTCATGAATCGCGAGATCATGACCTGAGCCCAGATCAAGAGTCGGGCGCTTAACCAACTAAGCCACCCAGGCGCCCCAAGTGTGACATTTTTTAAATCAAAATTATTGCAAAATATCCATGATGAGCACAATATCGACATTTTACATGAAGACAGGACCGTATTATTGATTTTTCCTGTCGTGTCATGCTCCTCTGGCTTGGCATGGAGGTGGCAAATAACCACAACTGTCCCCAGCGTACAAAGAAACCTGAAGGGCAGGGAAAGGCTTGCTTCCTGCGACCTGGTTCACTGGCATCGGAACAGGACTGAGAACCAAGGCTGCTGGCCACCCCCCCGCCCCCGTCTAACCAGGGGGCCCTTTGCCAGTCAGTCTGACCTCTGCCCAGTGACTAGGCGGCCAGGGGGGCACAGAGACATCTCACCCTCATTGGCTAACACACAGTAAGTAGGTCCTGGCCAGTGGCTTGGTTCTTACTAGCCCCTCCTTGAGACTAAAACTTTCAAGGATGTCTGTGTGACTCCTTTTTTCCTGGCTGCCCCAATAAAATGGATTTTGGTCACATCCCACCGCAATGTTTTCTCCACCACTATGACTTGTCCCATTTTGATCAAATATTTTACTTACAACTTCATCCCTAATGTATACCCTGCTCACTTTCAGAAGAGATCTGGAGTAGAGATAAGGTACTCATAAACCCACGATATGGAACACATCTATTACACCGGTTACTGGTGTTGAGGGTGCAGCTGGCCATGGTCCCCTCTAGCCCATATTTCATGGTGTTTTTCCTTGGCAGCGCCGAGGCCATAAATTAATCCCCACCCCACCCCCACCAACAAGGTGTGATTCCTGCGTGGTGAGGAAAGTTGAGATAATTGCCATTACAAGGGGCGATACTCTCTCCTTCGGCCCGAACAGGAAAGACCCGATGGCCTCTTGCAAATGTGTGTTGATTTGGGTTTAGGCTTGCCTCTCTTTTTTTTTTTAATTTTTTAAAATGTTTTATTTATTTTTGAGAGAGAGTGAGACAGCATGAGCAGAGAAGGGAGGGTCAGAGAAAGAGGGAGACACAGAATCCGAAGACAGGCTCCCGGCTCTGAGCTGTTAGTCCAGAGCCCGATGTGGGGCTCGAACCCACGAACCGTGAGATCATGACCTGAGCCAGAGATGGACACTCAACCAACTGAGCCACCCAGGTGCCCATAGGCTTGCCTCTCTTTTCACCCACCAAGTGGCCCTGGTAACCCCCACGAAGGAATGGAGAATGGGGGATTCACAGCCGCGACCTGAGAGTCCTGGGCTCGGAGCTTAGGGAGCTCAAAAACAAATTCCCAAGTCA